GTGATTGGCTGGGAACAGAGAAGTGAGCGAGGGGAAGGCGGGACTTAGTGGGGAGGCGGGGTCGAGGGGAGGGGAGGAGCCGAGAAGGGGCGGGCCTAGCGAAGTGGGCGGAGCTTAGCCAGAGCTGAGCTGGGCTGAGCAAAAAGGTGCAAGGAGAGAAACTGGATTTGAGCTAGGGAGAGATGGAGGGGCCGGGGCAATGGGGGCGTCTTATCTATAGACGGAAGGAAGAAGGAAGACGCCAGTGTCATCTCAGAGACATCCCCTCAGTAGCAGCCCAGCCCACACCCCTCCCCAGGGGGTGGAGGGGATAAATGGGGGAAACAATGGGACATCAGTAATGCTTTGAACAATAGAGATAAAATGTAATTGTAAAACAAAATAAAACAAACTGTGTGCTATGTAAAAAATAATAATAGCTATGTAAAAATAATAATAATTTATCTCAAGATTTGCAGAGAGGAATATAAAGGTGATACAAACAAAAGGACTCTGTAAAATGAAAGTGAGCACTTACAGAATGCGTTGTCTCAAGCGGTATCTCCACCGGGCAGCCGACTTGACTTTCACCTGTTTCTATGGCCGTCCATTCTACTCAAGGTCTACTGCTGAATGTCTTCTCCTGTTGAAATGCTGAAGGGCTTTATCTTGCTGGGACAATGGAGACCCAACAGGGTGACTTCGCTGTCACTGGGCTCCAGAGCTTATAAAATAATAACCCGTAAGTCGGTTAATAATAGTTTAAACCTGCAAAGTACTCATTAGGAACCGGCAGCTATGCTAAGTGTTTTCATTTAATCCTCACAGTACCACTCTGAAATCAGCTCCACTATAATTTCCAGATTTCACATGAAGAAACTGAAGTCTGGAGGAGAGGAGTGACTTATCCAAGGCCACGGTTCTATTAGAATCTACAGTCTGCTTACTCAGGTCCCGGTCACCTCCTGCTGATGTAGGACATTGAAGCAATGAACATAGCTTCTAATCTAGTTATATCTGTAAAGGGTTTCACTCCTAAAAGACTTTTATGAGCCATTGCAGCCATAAAAACTATAAAATTTAATACTGAAAACTGATGTAGGTATCACCTTTAGTTAGTTCTCTCATTTATTCATGTACTCATTTGTTTGATATTCATTAATCATTGATCAATACTTATTACAAGTGACTACATTAATAGATAAAAGAATAAATTAAAGGCAATGTCTGAATCATCCTTCAGCACCAGATGTTAGGCTTTCTGACCATCACAGCTATTATAAAGCACAAAGATGCGTCAGATGCAAATTCTCCTTCTCAGCTTTGCCATCTACATGAACACGGTTCATCAGAGAAATCATTTTACGTACGTGCTACACATTTTCTCGTCGGCCACTTTTATAGATAAGAGAATCGAGGCACAAGGAGATGATACGTTGGATGATAACTTGGGTATGCAGTTAGTCAGTCCATGTTGTCACAGATCCATAAGGACCCGGGGTCCCTAGTGCCTTTCACCTGTTAATACAAATCAAGTAAGACATGCAAATCAGGTGTTAGGAAAGATGAGCTTATAATTTTGCCTGTGGGGCACCTGCTTGCTGTGAACTTGATTAAATGAAACTGACATTTAAGAAAACTGTGCCTGTTGGAATCCTGGAAGGGGTCAGAGAATAAAGTCATCATGCACCTTCCAGTAAGGAGATTCCAGAGCGAGCTGGAAGTATTGTATTACAAGTCCCTTCCGCTGCCCTGACTAATCGCCACGGGGATCCGAGTTCAGCTCCAGGGCGTTTCAGACCAAGGGGCTAGGGTTTCACTTGGGCTGTGCTCCCCAGACTGCAGACCTGCACTCTCGTATTAATCAGCATAAATACCAGTGCCTTTTTTTTTTCCTGTACACCTGGAACCCTCTCGTCGAGTGGAGGTCTCAAGTTTGGATCCGAAGCCTGGCTGTCTTTGTCTGGGAATGTGGATGGTGCCTCTCATTATTTTAGTTGACTTAATTTAGATGAGCTCTAGCTGAGGAAAGGACTCACTCGGGTCCGTTTTACTCACTATCTCACTAGGGCTGTGTGTCCATGAGGACAAATCACATTTGTTTGGAAGTTCGAAAACCTTACAAGGATACTCCCCTCTTTCCTTCAAACCCTGCATATAACTTGTCAACAGGTTTTACTATTTCTACGGCCCACGTAGCCTGAATTTGTTCACTTCTTTCTATCTGCACTGGCCTCCCTAGCCGAAGCCACCATCGCTGTTCCCCTGACTGCCAAGTGACCTTCTGACTGGTTGGTCTCCCTGCTGGAGTCCATTCCCCACATGGACATGCACAGAGAGCTGTATTAAAAATGTCAGATGCTGAATTGATCCGCCCCCCCACCCCCTTACAAGAATAGTTGACAGGCTTCACATTGCATTAAATAACATTCACACTTCTCACCCTAGCCTACAGGGTCATGCCATCCTGCTGGCCCTTCCTGAATCTCCATTCCTGTCTTCTCCACCCTCCCCTCACTCACCAGGCTCCAGCCTGCTGCTCTTGGGTTTCTGGCTCATGCTAAGTGCTTGCTCGCCTCAGGAGCATGGCCCTCTTGTTTTCTCTGCCAAACTGCTCTCCCCACGCTCTTCATTCATTTTCGTCCTTCTGGTATCAGCCTGAATCTTTCTTCCAAGGACTCTCCTCCCCCAACCTCTTTTATTTGCTATCTCAGCCTTTGGTTTCTATTTCCTGAATAAAATTGATGGCCACTGGCAATTGGACCTGTGCCTCAGTGGGGGCAGGAGGAAAACAATAAAAAGTGAACTAATAAATTTGAGTTGCTTTCCAGCACTGATCTTGATCTGTAATTAGTTGAGCAGCTGTCTCCTCCATCAAAGCATAAGTTCAATAGCAAAGGCCTGTCCGTCCCTCTCACCTCGGCCTCCCCAGTAACAAGCTCACACCTGGCACATAAATATCTGTTGAGTGAATTAGTATCAGGATTCTGTTGATATTCATATATATGTATATATAGGTATATATACATGAATTCTATATATGAATATGTGTATATATACATGTACATATATATATATGAATATATATATAAATATATATACTGGTCACCACCATACTACATTGTTTTTGGTTAGTTTCATTAATTTTTAAGTTATTCTCAGTCTTCTACATAGACAATCATATTGTCAGCGGAAATGACATAGATAAGTTCATCATAGCCTTTCCATGAGCTATACCGATGATTTTCCTTTCCAGCGTCATTATATGGGCTGGAACAGTGGTTTGCACTATGTCCGACGAGATGCCTCTGGCTCCATAATGCAGGTACAGCTCCAGCCTTCCCGTCCTTGCCTCACAAACAAGAGGGAAGCTTCCCTTGGTTTTCTACATTGGGGCTCTGCGAAAGAGTTTATGAGGGGGTTCTACTGCTCACAATGAACTTGAAAATTACTGGGCTAGGACTTCTGGAACAATGATATCATAGCCGTCCTTGTCTTTTTTAAAACTACCACGTATTGACTGATTATATGAGTAGAGACTATGCTCAGTACTTAATAGTACATTTCTCACTACAAACTACAAGTTGTATGTCAATATTTCCCTTTAACAGATGGTTTAAAAAAAACTAAGTGACCCATCCATAGATACACAGAAAGTAAATATTACAAACAGGATTCAATTCCAGATCTTTCTAAGCCTAGCCATTTCTTATAACTACGAAGGTAAATAAGCCATATATGAGGAGGCTTTTATTTTATTTTGTTTTATTTTGTGTGTGTGTGTACTGTAATAACTTTTTCTTTTTTTTTATTGTTTACAGTATTACAGAGGTCCCCCAATTCCCCCCCCCTTTACCCTCTCATGAGGAGATTTTTAAATACTTATTTCCTTTAGTAATTGAAAAATAGACAAATTGTATTTTCAAAAAAATAGCCACAACAATATCTCTGATCCCACATAATCTGTTATGATGTGACTTTCACACTTGTCCCACCAAGAGGTAGAGTCTGTGTCCCTTCACCTTGAATCCTAGTGGGCCTCTGGGCCCTCAGCAGTGATGTTCTGTAACTTCCAAGGCCAGGTCATAGAAGTCAGTGCAGCTCCCCGTTTCTCTTGGAACTCTCGCTCAGAGCCCAGACACCATGACACAAGGAAGCCCAAGCAGCCTGCAAAGATCCCTGGGGACAGATCTGAGGGCCCTGGCCCACAGCCCTGGCTGAGCTCCCAGCCAGCAGTCGGTGCCACCCTGCCAGCCACGTGAGTCAACTTGAAGTCCTCTAGCCCACCCCAGCTGACACTGCA